ACAAACTTTCGCGTTTATAATATTAGTAAGCTGTACATATATAATAGAAATATCTTCGAATAAATATAAATAATATTTATTCAAATAAACTCAATACAAGCACTTTTGAATAGTCAAATTTTTTTATTCTACCACTTATTCGGAAAGCAGACTCATCACATGAAGAATGAGCAAGAAACTATTGTGTGTCGAAAGAAACTTAAATGTTATTTTAAACAAATAATTACACAATAACAAGTAAGAGGCATGCGATAATCAACATAAAAACCGCTACGCACTCAGTCTTAGTGCAATTGTTAGCGGTTTTAAATTTAAGATTTTTCATATATATATATATATATATATATATATATATATATATTCATTATATTATATTTATTATAATATCTTGTATAGTTATGTATATCAGTAAATATGTCACAGTCCTCGCTATTACTTCACAACGCTTTCTGATTATACCCTAAGGTTACCTGGGGAGCGTAAAGCGATTGTACTTCCGATGGTCGCGGGTTCGATTCCTCGCATGGTGCAAACATTTGTATACATGAGTTTGACTGTTTGTATCGGTCTGGATGATAGCTAGACCGCTAATAATTAATAAATAAATTAATAATTAAAATATTTATTGTGTTTCTTTTAGCATTCGGGATCAGCAGCAAGATGTGGGATTATATATTCAAGACGTTTGTACACGTTAGAAAGTTGGGATTTAGTTTACATTGGTAATAAAAACCTACAATTCTTAGTTTATATTTAACTAGTTTCCCACCTCGGTTTCTCACGGGTGTACTGTAGATGTATTACACATATAAAGCTTCGTCTTGAATCACTCTAGCCATTGCGTAGTTTAAAACATCTAAGCGAGAAAATAGTGGAAGCGACTTTATTTTATACTATGTTAAGATCATTTAACTTATTACTAGTTCTAAAACAAATGTCTGTACGTATTAATTAGTTGTTACATACATATATAGATAAAATTATATTATATGCTAGCTGCACCTGCGACTTCGTCCGCGTGGAATTTAACTTTATTTTTCTTAAATAAAAGTAGCCTAAGTTACTCCTTATTACATTAGCTACCTGCCAAAAAAAAGTGCCGATAAAATTGGTCCAGCCATTTCAGAGATTAGCCGGAACAAACAGACCGACAGACAAAAATTGCAAGAAATGTTATTTTTGTGTATATACCGTATTTATATTGATATGAATGTAGTAAAAAATGGTTATTTTCAATATTACAAACAGACACTCGCTATTTTATTTATATGTATAGATTAGCGAGCGTCGTCCACGTTTGCCTTTGCCGAGAATGATTTGGGTTTTTCTAAAAAGTTTTTGTTTTGTTTGTATGATAGGAAATTTAATTGTTAATTTATGAATTAGTTAATTAACTTTGTTTAAAATTTAGGATGATGTTAAGTTTAGGTATATGTTTTATATTACAAAAGTGATATAAATACTTAAAATTTATAAATAGACATGTACTTACAATGTTATATTTACAATGTTTATACTGTCACATATTTTTAATACAGGTAGTACCTATTCAAAATTTTGTTTATATATTTAAACATAATCGAAAGCCAGGCCTAAATATATAAAACTGTGCTATATATTTATGAACAAAAAGATTATTATTATTATATATTAATTATGTCACGATATATACCGACTAGTTTTTGCCCGCGTCTTCGCTCGCGTTAATTTATCCCCTTGGATTGGGAAAATTTATCAAAATGCTTTCTTAGGGATGCTTACGTCATAATAGCTTTATGCATGCAAAGTCTCAGCCCGATCGGTTTAAAATTGACAAAGTTTCATACAAACTTTCATCCCTTATTTTATCCACTTGGGGGTAGAATTAATCAAAATCCTTTCTTAGCGGATGCCTACGTTATAACATCTACCTGCATGCCAAATTTCAGCCCGATTCGTTCAGTGGTTTGGGCTGTGCGTTGATAGATCATTATGTCAGTCAGTCATCTTTGAGTTATATATATTTAGTTGATGAGAATATTTGTGGCTAATTACGATTGTAATGATAGATCGATTGTTCTAGATGTTTATGCTAAATGGTGATATGTATACGTTACCACTTCTAGTCAAATAAATGTATTTTTTATAATATGGAGTGCCTTATATTTATGTAGATAAATCTTACTTACTTAAACAAGTTTGTACCACATAAAAATGTCTTCTTTTTATAATTAAGTACCTGCAATATTTAAATTATTCTGCAATAAATAGTATAGAGAGGATAGACAAGTGTTCAAGTGAAAATAGTTTTATACTAGTACAACTAGATGGCAATGTATTTTGCATACATATTTCTAAAACACGCTAATAAGATATTTTTGTTATATAGATATGTAATTTTTTTTATTTATGCACTTAAATCAATATATATATATACGGTTGTAACCTCGTAACTGTATTTTGATTCATAAAGTACAAACGCTCCTGATCTCCAGAACCTCGATTTTATACAAGTAGAGATATGGAAATTAAAATCTTTTCTTGGACCATTATTTTTATTTTGAAAATATTATACCTATTTCTTAAAGTTTTATAGTAAAGCTTAAAATTATATATATATTTTTAATAACTATCATTAGGTATATACTCTTGTTTGTTGAAGAAGATTTTAATATAGGAATACCCAAGTGTTATGTTACACATTATGTTGTATGTGTACCATTTTACTGTACTAGTAAGTATTTTGTAATGTGTATATAAATAGTTTAATTTAGATTATGAATTGACAATGTATTAGCATTCTCAAATAAATATTACACATACTTAAATATTTATTTGTTGTAAGTACATTGGTATGGCATTAAGCTTATTTGTTAAATATTGCTAACTTGCTACTCGCCCCGGCTTCGCACTACATGTATTATACATATAAATTTCCTCTTGAATAACTGACTGCATCTGTTGCTAAAAACTGCATTAAAATCTGTTGCGTAGTTTAAAAGATATAGGCTAACAGCGAAAGCGGGTTTATTTTATACTATGTAAAGCAGATTCTAGAATATTAAAAAAACATTTCATTTTAGTCAAAGAAATACCATTTCCCAATATTTATAAGTGTGTACTCAGTCTTTATCTTCACAATCAGACGTGTCATACATCATTTATTTCATTACTTAATGTATAAATAGAATAACTGTTGCTAGTTATTTCGAATGTTTCAAAAAATATTAATTTCATTGATAAGTGGTAGAATATGACCACGCAGTATGCATTCTTACTCCAATTTTATTTATATGTATAGATAATCTTCAAATCAGCTTGCCTTGTATGTTATATTTCGATTGTCAGATGTGATAGCGAAATTGTGGGACAAAATATGGATTAATATTTACAGTCCACTGGATTAGGTACGAGGTATGAAGGTATAAGGAGTGAAAGAAAACGAGTAGTAAACACTAGATATTAGTGTAAATATAAGTGTAAAAAATAAAATGTTAATAGTTCTCTAATATACATATAAATAGGTACTTAATTGTTAAATTTTAAGTAAGTTAAATTATTTTAGTAAGACATATAAGTATAAAATATATATTGTTTGTATATTTTAATGTGTTTTATTATAGTTACAACTAATATGAAAATTATTATCGTATTTTTTTTATGTAATTGCTCAATTCTGTCAGTGACTTAGTTTGTTTTGTAAATTGTGTCAACATATACATATATGTGCGTACATAGTATAACCCTGTTTTTTTAGTAATAAAAAAAATTTCAATTATTACTTTTTAAATTATAAATACCTAACTAACCTAACATGGCATCGGATCCTTAGCACAGATAAGAGATTATGTATTATTGATAGCCACTGTAGTCTAGCGGTTTAGCACACCGCTTTACTTTCTATAGTCGCGGGTTCGATTCCTCGCACGGAACAAATATTTGTATTTAAGAGTATGGTTGCTTGTATTAGTGTATGTGTTTTCTATGAATATTATGTATGTATTTACAGAAAATGTGTAAGTATTTGAATCAGTTCTCTAGTACCTATAACATCGGATCTGCTTAGCTTGGGACCAGATGGCGCTGTGAATTGTCCATGGTTATTATAAGATAATAAGTATGGGAAAGTTGGTCTCTTTATCGGTGATAACGGAAAGGTAAGCCCGCCTGCGCAAAAGGTTTATGCTAGCGGGGCACCAGTGGACGGTGATAAGATGAGCATGAGGTCAGAGCGATTAGCCTACCGTGACAAAGGAATTTAGTTCACCAGGAATTATCACAATGGTTTCCAGTAGAACCTGATCATGATACATTGCTAGTCATTACTATGTACTATATTACATCCTGGTTCATTACTCCACATTACTGAAACTCCCCTTCCACAAGGTGTAATGTTTTTTTTATTGATAATGGAATGGTGCACCCACCTGCACTAACGATTTACGCTGGCGGGTGCGGGGACTGAGACCTCCACGACCTCCACCTTCCCCGTGGAAACCATCAGCATATATGTAAGAGCAGGTGGGTGGTGCACAATATCGTTATCATCCATAAAAATACTTCTACGTAATTTTGTTAACTTCTAATAGAATAGAAAATAATTGTTACAAATAATGTAACATTCCTAGATACACAGACAGTTGTGTAAATAAATAATACAAAACATGCCCTATCCTTTTATGTAACAATTAGAAGTTCGCGCAATTATTTAATTGGAATATATTTTTTTAATGAGGGTACGATCTAAAATGTACTTTATACGTATTGAGATAAAAGCGGTCATTCTGTAACAAGTGTAACGGTACAACATTATTTTTGTAACTATTGTACGTGATGTGATTAGATCGAGTAATTTGTGATATTAAATTCAACTTTACGCTTCAGTAGTGCGACTAACACGTAAATCAGAGACTCTAATTATTTTTTTTAATTATTTAACAAACACCATTTAGTTGATTAAAAATGTGGCGTGTATTTTTTTTTAATGTCTAAAAGGTCAAGGTTGCCAAGTGTAAATGAATATGGGCATGGAAATTTTCGGTCGTGGAAGGAGTACTATTTCGAGAACAACATTGTTATTTTATTTTTTGTTGGTGATTGTGAGTGGTTGTTATAATTCAGGATTGGAGTTTTTGACTGAGGATCTTCTACCATCACTATGCCCACTTCTAGCTGACACGTCTTCTATAATTCAGGATATATTCAAATTACGTACCATAGACAAGTGTGTTGTAGAAGTTATAGAAGACAATCCTACAACTTCTGAGCTACTCTCGGAATGCATTCGATGTGGTCGTGAAATTTCCCGGCAGAATACACAACGAGGCAACCAGCTAGTGCGCAGCGGGATCACTCTTGACGTATACCCTCCAGGACTGATGCACTTCTATCCTGCATCACGTCCTGCTGAGCTAAAAAAGGCTTCAGAAGCATCACAGGAGCTTCTAGCGGCTACTAAGCTGATGCAGATGAGATTATCGAGGTTTGTAACGCATCCAGAATACAAAATTAGTTATATAACGAAATTAGTATAACTTTACGACTATAATATTAAATGGTGTAGTTAGAAACAGTGTAGATATAGTTGTGAAAAGAAATTTAATTGATTGAAAGTTTATTTTTGGGTGTTTGGGGTTTGTGGCGTTATTTTTTGTGAATTACAAGTCATGTTTTATAACACAAAACCATCATTATGAGTCTGAGCACCTCTCTAGTATGTCACGTTTTGAAGGAAAGTCGGTTGGAAAATAAAAATAGTAATAATAGCAATCAAGTGTCAAGTTAAGCAGTGCTTATGCTATGGATACTAGACAACTGATACAAATACGATAATAGGTTCGAACCACTAGCGGTGCCCTTAGAGTAAAGTCCTATCCGTCAGGCGGGAGTTGATCTTTAGCCGCTCTATAGTCCGAAAAAAAAGATATATCAAGAAACATCGATATGAAGGAGGGGGGGGAGGTGATTGTTAGTAATAAGAACTAGTGGCCCCTTTGCTGGCAATGTAATGTCTATCAGGTCGACCTCCACACGATCCCTGGAAATCATCGTGACCTGACCTGACTTCGTCTTTATCATATCTTCCTTCATTGGTGCCCTGCCAGCGTAAATCGTTAGCGCAGGCAAGTGCATTATTTCATTATAATCCATTATCGATATAACAGTCTCTGACATGTTCGAATATATGTTTGTAAACATGTACAACATTTATTTGAAACGAATACGAGCTGAGTTTCTTGTCAGTTCTTCTCTTCTCGAATTCACTCCGAATTGACGGTAGATTTGACATATCATAAGAGTCTGTAATAGACCTACATGAATAAAGATATTTTGAATTGTGAATTTTTTTAATACCCAGCGAAATGTGGGCAAGTCAACTGTTGCGTTCACCACAATACAAAACACAAAAATAATAGTAGGTATATAAAAATTTACAAATTTCTTGTTACTTTTTTTAAACTCAATTAGCTAGCTGAACTAGACAGTTAGGATTCAAAATGGGTCAATATATAAAACTATATGTTTGCTATATTTCGTCTTCGCAGTTCAGGAGCAACTCCCAACACCTTCCTCTCATTCCTCGAACACCAAGTGATAAGGATCCACGAGGGTTCCTCCTGCAGGCCGGTCCACGTCACATGTCACAACACGAAGTACCGCAGCATCGACGGCACGTGTAATAATCTGCGGCGGGCGGCGTGGGGCCGCAGCGGAGCTCCATTTACAAGGCTGGCCACACCACGGTATGCGGATGGTGCGTTTATGAGCTTAGCAAAGAGTAAACTATTAAGATCTCTCTTAAAAAGAGTATATTTATATTATAATACTAACTGTGCCCGCGGTTTCAAATTTCAATAAAAATTATAGTGTACGTATTATTCTGATGTATAAGCTATATTACTGTAAAGTTTCATCAAAATCCGTTCAGTAGGTTTTGCGTGAAAGAGTAACAAACATCCATACTTACAAACGTTTGCGTTTAAAAAATTATTAAGATTAGCTTAGATTTTGAAATGAGGACCAATCTATTATCTTATTGAAAGTTACATCAGCGAGTTTTATAAGCTTTTCTCGTTCTTTTTGGGCTGAGTTTGCCTTCAGAATGAGTGGTAGAATAAAAAGAATATGACTGTCCCTGAGAGCTTATACTAAGTTTATATATATTTTATAGGCCGTATATTTAATTTTGTGACTTATTGATTGGTTGATTGTATAATATTGGAACTATTAAGCTAATGTTATAAAGGTTGGGTCTCTGTACCAGTAACCGCAGTCGCTGCGAATGTCATAATTAATGATGATTTTTTTAAAGGAATATATGCCATGCCGTTAGCAAAGAGTGGTCACCCTCTCCCAAATCCACGCGTGCTGTCTACGCGTATGTTCTCAGACCAGCAGATTTCCAGCCGTGTCTTCAATTACATGAACATGCAATGGGGCCAGTTCGTCACCCACGACCTGATGCTACAGGTTATGGAATCTACAGGTGAGTAAACGAAAATAAATAATTAATTTAAATTATTAATTAATTTAAAACTCTGATATTACTAATTAAATTTGGCGACCTCGGTGGTCTAGTGGTCTAGCACACCGCTTTACGATCGATGGTCGCGGGTTAGATTCCTCGCACGGCACAAACATTTGTATTGATGAGTAGGATTGTTTGTGTCCGGGTGTTTTCTATCTATAATATGTATGTATTTAAAAAAAAATATCTATGTATATGTATCAGTCATCTAGTACCCATAACACAAGCTTTAGCTAGCTTAACTTGGGTCTAGATGGCGCTGTGTAAGTTGTCCTGAGATTATTATAATTATTTCTAAACTTCAAAAAAAAATCACATCCCCCCTCTTAAGGAGAGGAGATGGCAACTTACTTATTATTATTATTATTATTATATATTTATTTATGGAAGTATAGGTGAGACAAAATAATGTCCATGAATAATAAAGGCGCCTCCATGATAAAGAATTATTTCAAAACAGGCATAACTCATATCATACACCGCGTTTTACATGTTGGGGACCAACTCATCAGCGCTCGCTAGCTCTGCCTGTGCAAAAAACAATTTATGTTGTTTAAAATAAAACTTAAATTGCTCTATTTAAGTGTTTACTATGTAAATCTAAGTTTTATAAGACCATTGTTTTTCTCTGCTACAAAAGTTCACGTAACGAGATCAATCACGTCAATCAATCAATCAATGTACATAAGTATCAGCGACGAATGGTTTCTAATTGCTGAGAAAAATTGAGATTATTAACTTCAATATTTGCGATGCGAGGGTTAAGAGGCCAAAATCATTTTTATTGCAAAATTCCTATTACATAATCCAACTTAATGAAAATAGTTCTAAAAAGCAGATTTAATATTTGAGTTAACATATATTTTCAGATGAAGGAGGCATCCAGTGCTGTCTCGGTGAAGGGATTGATATTCTTCAGCCAGAGTGGCAGAATGTGAATTGTATACCGATATCCGTTCCTGAGGATGACCCGTTCCACCGTTACCATGGGATAAAATGTCTTAATCTAGTCAGAAGTGTTACTACCCCTAGAGATGATTGTAGTTTAGGGTACGCAGAACAGGTAATTATTATTAAATACTATTAGGACATATAAAATAATATTACATACTGTTAGGTACACTTGTGGAATAAAAAGTATATAATCCATCACATTTAAAATTCATATTCATACCTATCCAATTAAAGTTAATCATTATTTTTACAAAATTTAATTTTGGAGTTAAATTTATGCTACTTGTTTGCTCTTCTGCGTATTGTTTTATATTATGTACTTATTACGTATTGTCACGTGCTTGGACCAGTAGCACTGCGACCTACATAGATCTATTGTGCTCGCCCTATTTCAGAGTTCGCTGCCTAGACCCGTCAGGGACAAGAATTGGAGGATTGTAAACTTACCATAAAGGTTAATTCAGGAGTGAGCTACAACCACATAGGATGTGTAGTGGCGTTTCCTCTTCAGTTTGGCAAAATCTGCAGATTTTTGTTGTGTACACTCCTGGTTTACCATATAGGCCATTAGTGAATTAAATAAACAAATAAATTCTTATAATATTTCAGATGAACACAGTGACGAGTTATTTAGACGGCTCGCCTATTTATGGGCCGGAGAAGAAGCTAGCCTCCCGCCTGAGAACCAAGGCGGGTGGCAGGTTACGACAGGAAACTAGGGAGAAGTGCAAGAGAGGATTCTTGCCTTCCGTGGATGATAAATCTGTGTGTGACCTGAGGAATACATCTGAACCTTGTTATTTGGCAGGTAATGTATTGTCGTTGATTGTGCTATTGTTTTTTATTCATTTATTAATTCATGAATTTAAAATACAAAATTATAATCTATGTACATCTAATATCATAACAATGTTTCTGTGATAATAATAATATAGTAATACTAATAATACTTTGATGTTTTTATTAGCTACGCCCGTAACTTTGTACGTATGGTATTCAGTATTAAAATCCATATTACTATGATAAATAAGAAAGTGTTTCTGTCTGTTTACCTTTTCACGACTAAATGACAGAACAGGTCTTAATGAAATTTGGCATGACGATAGATATGAGGACAAATATACTCTGTCTTGTATCTGAAAAAAAAACAGACAATATCGCTATAAATTAAATTGTTTCTGAGAAGACAAAAATTATTAAATATTTTTTTACTTCGTTTATACAATTATTAATTTTTTTATGTACGGACAAGGCACGTTTACAATTGTAAATGTAGATCACTTTCTGGCGTGTCGTTATGCTGATCATAATAAAGTTGCGGATAAAAGAGGTATCTTTTATCCGCAACTTCATTATGATGCAGTTATTATTTACTGCATTAGTATGCAGTTGTTCATTTTCTCAGAGTTAATTCTTTAATTTCCCGCTAGATGGCATTGTATAAGTTATATGTATTTATTTATTTTGTATCGTAGGTCATAGGATCACTCCTGCGTATTCACTAACACTTGATTTTTTAGCAGACACATGTTTGTCTAAAGTGTAAATAAAATATTTACTTTGAGGGGATAATTTCTTATAAAATTGTTCTGTAAATTCTACTTTTTAGGTAATGTCAGAATAAATCAAACTCCGACTTTGGCACTCCTCCAGGCTCCTTGTCACTAGGTGGCACAGTATAAGTTGTCCATGGTTATTTATTTCTTAAAAATAATTGTATTATACTTTTGTAAATTCTTCTTTTAGGTGACGTCAGAATAAACCAAACTCCGACTCTAGCACTCCTCCAGACACTCCTTTTGCGGGAGCACAACAGAGTAGCCGATATTTTGGCATCCCTGAACCCTCTATGGTCAGATGAGAAGCTGTACCAGGAGACACGGAAGATTGTTATCGCTGAAATACAGCATATAACTTATCAGGAGTGGTTGCCTCTCAATTTTGGTGAGATCATTTGTTCTTGAAAAGTATATGTTTGCTCGTGGTATACTTTTATGACAGTTGACTGTATTTGTAGACTAGAACATTCTGGTCTGGTTTAAATTTAAGTTACTACAGTTATATCACAGATAACATAATATTACATACAGATACCCCATCCCATACAAGAAAATGGTTCCTTCCTAACTCGGGCTATTCTTCGGGCTATTTTATTTCGCCACCGTAGCCGCTAGATGTCGCTAGATCTGAAGCAGTTCGGATTACTAGTGGGTGCTTAGTAACAAGGCATGAAAATAGATGGCAGTCAATTCAGCTACATGACATCTGTTTTGCAAAGATATGTATATAATAGATATGTAGGTTACTGTATCGTGTACCTCATTAGGGACGATTTAAGATTCAATGTAAATGTGTAGGTATAATATCGTTAGCCGACACTCTGCAGATATGGCTTATGTGCCAATGTATATACCTATTATGTTATGGTTTATTTTACATTCCATGCCTATTTTTTTGATATGTTGTAACGCGTCTGCGCTATACGTATAGCCTGATTTTGATACGTTTATACTCGTACGTATCATATATATCGGAATTTTCACCCGTCTTTCACCAACCCCTATTTTTAATAGCGATATTCTTAAAAATATTATAAATGCTAAAGTAACTCAGTCTGTCTATTTGTCTCGCTTTCACGCCAAACATTCTGAATTACTCGTATATCTTTCAATATCTTTAGCGGTATAAACCAGGTTATGTACTACTACTAGTATTGTTAGTGAGGGATAAAGTTGATGAACAAAAATAAAACAATATTCGTATTAAAAATATATTCATCTAATATTTTTGGCATTATTTTTAAGTTTCTTCCAAATACAAGGGGTCTGACATGGGGTGTTATGTACCTACATTAAAAGATACTTTTTGACATGTATGAAATGTATGAAAGAAATGTATGTACCTACATTAAAATATAATTTTTGACATGTATGAAATGTATGAAAGAAATGTATGTATCTACATTAAAAGATAATTTTTGAAATGTATGAAAGAAATGTATGTACCTACATTAAAAGATAATTTTTGAAATGTATGAAATGTATGAAAGAAATGTATGTACCTACATTAAAAGATAATTTTTGACATGTATGAAATGTATGAAAGAAATGTATGTACCTACATTAAAAGATAATTTTTGACATGTATGAAATGTATGAAAGAAATGTATGTACCTACATTAAAATATAATTTTTGAAATGTATGAAAGTAATGTATGTACCTACATTAAAATATAATTTTTGAAATGTATGCACCGTACAATAACAATACACGTTAAACATCATACCACAGAGTCATACGCAAGTTAAAAACAAACTGCTATGATATTAATGAGAAAGGAAAATCAACTTTATGGTATTCGAATTAGGATCGATTTCTCTCTTTTTTTTTAAATACTAATTTAATCTTACCAGTTGCCAGTATTCGAAGACAACTACGATTCGTACTCGATATTTTAAATTATTATGTAATCGATTTTTCAGTACAAATGCAAATAACCAACGACACTAATAATGTACTACTATATTCCGTTCTTTGAAACGGAACACTGCTATAATACAAAATAATGAAAATTTACTGTTCACAACGACTCATTAAAAGCATCATCGAATAATGCGTAATAAAATCCTGTTATCGATTATTAAAAAAAATCGATAATACATGTATTTATTTATAATATGACAACACTTCATACATAAGTATTATTGGAAATATTATTACTCGCTTGTTCGGCTATTTTTAATTTACTTAAAAAAATTTTATATGTTTAATTTACAAGAATAATATATTAAGTGCTTATTATTGGAAAATATAAAAAAGACATTTAATTAGGCCGATACAATTGACGACAATGCCATCTATGAAAGCATTTTGAAAACATTGAGCCCCATATTAGCACTGATTAAAGTGTAATTAAGTACTGGAAAATAACAAAATGAGTAAATATATGAAAATTAATTTTCTAAACGCATTATTTCATTTTAACATGTATATATAACTTTTTAAAAATTGATTAAACATTTTTGAAAACACAGTTTTGTTTTTTAAAACGTTTGCAAAACTATGAAGAATTCCATCGATACCAATCACGCCATCTATATGCAACTTTTAGCAATAATAATGGCTACTTCCTCATTGAGTGCCACTGGTATTAGTATTATGAATAGTCTATTTTTTTTTATAACAATTATTTACACCAACGATAATCGTCCGTCTGTATATTTTGTAATGTATTCTATATGTGTTTAAAATACTTCTTTATATTTTCATCTTGTTATTATTATCATAGGTAACTGTACTTAGTTGCGTTTTCAAATTAATAAAAAAATTACATAATATTATTTAAAACTAATTTTTGTTATAATGTTTTGAGAAATAACTGACTACCCCTAATAACTTACATCCCATATCTGAAGGGCCATGGACGATTAACCCGTTTTCTTTCAGTAATCAAAAGAATTAAATTTATACGAAATTTAAATATATACGAAAATTTATCAAAATTGATTTAGGTGTGAAAATTTAACAGATGAATATGTAGTATTCTCCTACATAAAAGATATTGAACATATAATAATTGTTCTTGTTATTTTATATAATGTAAGAAAAAAATATTTCTAAGTATTATTTTACTTCATGTTGACATTTCATAGATGCGAACATATTATATATAATGGAATATATTATATAGTTCCGCATATATGAAACTATACATATAAATAAAATAACTATATACAACTATACATATAAATAAAATTAGAGTATATGTTTGTAATATTGGTTTAACCGTTTTTTATAACATGCATATGAATATATATATGGTACACATACCAAAAGAACATTTTTTTATAATTATTGTCTGTCTGTTTGTTCCGGCTAATTTCTGAAATGGCTAGACCAATTTTGACGGGATTTTTTTGGCAGGTAACTGATGTAATAAGGAGTAACTTAGGCTACTTTTATTTAACATTTTTTTTTTGTTTTATAAAAAAAAGTATAAAAATATTTTCTACGCGGACGATCTCGCGGGAACAGCTAGTAATGTAATATAGGTCACTTAGTTCACTAGTAGAAATGTAGATGGCGTTGATTCTATTACGTAGATGTCTACGAGCTTGCTACGCCGTAGTATTAGCTTTTTCATATTACCGTGTAGAGATGCCATAGATACCCACTAGATGGAGATGTAGAGTTGTGATAAGCAAGGTAAGCACAATTATTATCAAAATTATAGAGATGTCACTGTGTTTACTTTTTGGAGGTACTACATTAAAATTGTGTGAAATTTATGACTAGATTTTTTTTTCAAATAATTGGTAGATGGCGCCGTTATAGCCATTTCTCATGTGACTATTCGTTGTCACTAAAAAATCAAAACAGTAATTTTTAAATTTCGAATTTTTTATATGATCATAATCATATGACCGCGTGGAGTTTTTATACCAGAGATAGACTGTAAACATTTTTTTTTTGTGGATGATAATGGAATGGTGCATCCGCCTACGCTAACGGTTTACGCTGGCGGGGCACCAGTGGAGGATGATTAGCACATCTTGACAAATTCATCAAGAATTTAACACGATGGTTTCCAGGGGGAACCGCTTGGAGGTCGTCTCCGTGGGTACCTCAGTCACACCTATTTGAGTATCCTAGCAGTTTGCATTATAAACTGTGTTTCAGTTGTAAGGATTAGGTTCGGATTAGGTTTAGGATAGGATAGGATACGAGAACCAAGAGAGAATCTTTGTGGGTTCTAATCATAAGCGACATGACATCTTAGTCCTCGGGTATGACAACTTGTGAGTGGTACATCACATCATAACGTAATATCCGTAATACTGTTCATGTATATAGGCAACAGTTATACTTACCATTAGACGGGCTGTCTTCTTCTTTCATCTGCTTCTTTCTTATCCCGTTTATTTGGGGTTGGCGTAATATGTTTTTCTCTTCAATTCATCTCTGTTCGCAGTCATCCCGTTATTTACTCCCTTTCTCACCATATCATCTCTCACACAGTCCATCCATCTCTTTTTCGGTCTTCCTCTACCCTTATCCACATTCATATGTAACACCGTCCTTAGGATATGATCTTCATTCCTACGCATTACACGTCCATACCACGATAGACGATTACTCTTTAATTTCTCCGACATCGGTGCCACTTTCATCCTTCTTTCCACTTTCATACTTCCCCTGGGCCGTCTTCTTGTTTGCCATTCAATTTTACACTGTCTTTTTTTAGTCCTATGAATACTAATACTACTCACTGGATTTCAGCTTGGCATTTTATTTATTATGGAAAATAAGTAAAACCATTTATGGTACAATTACGAGTAAAATAAATCCATGTAGGTAGCAGTGCTACAGGTGCTACAAACATCTGGCAATAGCCCAAACAATCCAATAAAAAAAATGGCACAATTAGAAAGATTTGTGCGTTAATATTAATGAGACATGTGATTTTCCTAATATACATAAATAACTATAGGTATATCCTTTAAAATTTTCTGAGTAAGTGGATATCTAGCACTCTCTGTAAGTACTGTAGTTGGAAACTTTTTATTTTTAATTTATTATTTACTCAGACTCTGGCAACCACACACTGTAGGTCCGTTCCCTTTTCAATTCCATTTGTGTTTAAAATTCTTTTTTACGTTTTCGTGACATTATTATCATAACTGTACTTAGTTGCTTTCCAAATTCATAAAAAAACCTATATGAACGCACATGGAATACTAGCTGTGCTCGCGACTTCGTACGCTTGTTATTAACCAAATAAAGAAAAAATATTCAATAATCGAACTTAAAAAATTCAAAGAAAAAAGCTTCATCGTCCTTGATCTAGGTTAAAAAATGACGAAAAAGGATTTACTTTTGCATTTACAATATTAGTAAAAATTAGCATCATCATCGTAGCTGCTAAATATAAATTAAAAAATAATAAAAATATCAAAAGAGTTGGTCGCTAACATATTATCTATATCTAGGCATAGATAAATTTATAAGTAATTGACAAGTCTAGGGGTGGACTATGCCTCGTAAACGAGTGTATGCCAACTAAATTGCCGCCTCATTAAACCGTCGCCAAGTGTTTAATCTGACAGTTTATAGCCCTCGAAAGGGCGAAGGGTAAGTGTGCATTATATTATACTATATCTACATATATATTTCCTGTAAAAAGAGAGAGTTTATTCATGATTTCATAAAAAAATATAATCCCTACATTTCATATAAAAATTAATATTTGTACTATTATATTTGTTGTAGTATAAATTATATTACAAACTAGTTGTTCCCGCGACTTTGTCCGCATGGAATAGTGGAATAGTTACCTTGGATAACATAAAATATTTAATAATCTTATGCAAAAAACGAAGAAAAAGTTTCAGCGTTCTAGCTTCAAAAATGACGAATCTCCATACAAACTTTCATCCTTTATTATATTTTAGTCTATTTGAATATCATATTTAATCAACAGCTAAAAAATATCTTTCAAGCTTCTACTTAAAAATGATCATACTTCCATACAACCTTTCATCTCCCCTTTACACTCCTTACAATCCTTTTTTCGCCTTAAAAAGTAGCCTATGTCTTTTCAGTGTCACTCTACATACAAAAGCTACAGAATGTGTCCTATTCAGGGAGCATGGTATCCTGAGCACCTTATATTTTAAGGATATATGTAATGTAACACTTACACCTTATACTTCTTATACTAGGTAATAATGTGTATATAAATGTAGACAAAGAGAATGAGAAAGGTCGCGCAATCCGCCATCACGTACATTCTTTAATCTTTCTTAAATTTGAATTTTAATAATTATTAATTATATAGTTCTCTACTCTATAATTAAATAAATAATTATAGCGTAGAGAATTATATAATTAATCTTTTTTTTTTCAATAAATATTAATTTACAATAAAATGCCCACCACCAATCACCCACGATTACGCATTCTAGCTTTCTTCCGCTAAATCACTGAAAATACGTATCGTGTAAAGATAGCTAATTAAATGAGACTAAGAAAGTTATGTAAGTCTAGTGAAATCCATTATAACAGTACACTACACCTTTTCAGTAACTGCATCTTTCAAGATTCGCTCTGAACACCCACATGTTTCATTAATCTTCATTCCATCATCCTTTTCGCTTTCAAGTATCAACGTGGAATGCCCTTTCTCATTTTTACACTGACATTTCCTGCCTAACCGACTTACTCACGTAATTTTTATGTTAAGCATTAATTATAATGTTATTTTAATGAATACAAATTGAATTTAGTTACACAACAAAAAAAAATTCTTAAATCTTTTCTTTAAAAACATATTTTAAATAATCTTTAATAGATAAAATGCTAAACTACATTTCGCATTCGCATCGCAACACAGCATATCTAGAACCTATGAACATAAATACTTGGGTACATTGTTTATATTTACAAAAAATGTATTTACTTGTACTACACACTATATCAGCAGTCTAGTACCCATAACACAAGTTCTGCTTAGCTTGGGACTAGATAACGCTGTGTGAATTGTTCAGGGTTATTATTTTTATTATACACCCTTAACTGCTACTTATTAATATAAGAGTCTGTGCCTACTGTCGTCATTCCTCGTATTTTAATTCATCACTCCATAACTATAGTTTAGTACCTCTTATATAGTCGTAAAGGCATTTTTTATTTTATTACTAGCTGGCCGACCTGGCTTTGCACAGATGCTTTACAAATCCTTGAATTATAAACATTTCTCTCTCATTGAATCATTTTATCTATTGCTGAATATTGCATTAAAATCTGTTGCATAGTTTAGAATATATAAACTAACAGACAGTGGCGGCGATTTTATTTTATACTATATAAAGATACTGTATAGGTAAAGATCTTGAACGAGACGAACGAAGAAGTGAAAATATATTACAAATACCTATTATTAAATTAGGAGCAAATGCGTGGGTTATAAAATCACAGCGCGGACTTCATAATTACCAGTATGTTCCATTTCTATGTTCTTTTACATAAAACATATTACACACTATATCTTTGAAAATTCAAAACCTACATGAATTAGTATGTATAATTGTACTAGTAATAATAAATGAAAATTCAGAGAGATGCTTGTAGACGTTTAGTATAGCAGAGCGCAGTGATTGAAGTGTATAAAACAAAAATGTATATGAAAACATCATGTTTTGAATATGAATAAAAGAATATACAAAACTGCCAGTCGTTCCTATTGTAGGTCTAGCACTACTGAGCAACTAAAAACAACATTTAAAAAGTTGATACTGACTTTATGATAACTAAATCTAAATTGAATTGATTCTATTGTATTGATTTTTGGTTAAACCAGAGGATCAGTGTAATTATTGCATCTACGTAATTTTTTTAAATATAAAATACTGCTAATATTATTCAGTTAATTTTTTTTAATATAAACATGACTATTCATATGTGATTATATAATATTTTTCACTAAAGAATTTTTCAATTTCATTTTCTTTTATATGATATAAAAGATATATGTTTTTAATATGAAATAAAAAAATATATATACACATATATGTGCACATGCATCGTATGGTAACATGAAGTCCATAGTATGTATATGGCGTATGGTACACATAGACCATCAATAGGCTGACAGGCCTATTCGCCAGTCTAATTACGCTTTAAAATTTATTCTACGGTATATTGTTTTCAACTGTATTTGTATTTCTATAATTAGAAATTGCCATCCAGCTAACATGAAACTATCATTAAGACGAATTTCAATCAAGAATTTCACTGGTACTGTTTCATTTGCGTTGAGCGGTAGAGCGCGAAATTATGCTCTCAAACGTCACCGGTATTGTTTATTTCTGTCTCTCAAAATTCGCATCTTTATGAAAAATGATAGGACCATAGACAATTTTTTCTTCGTCGTATTTTATGTGGATTACACAAGGAAATTTATAGAGAGAGCACATACGAAACGATTCATTCCAAGTCTATGCAGATTGACGGATTGTGTGATAATAATATCCATACTTAACAAGGATACTTAAACTTAAACTTACATAATTTACACAGCACCATCTAGTTCCAAGGTAAGAGGAGCTTGTGTTATATTAGACAATTGCTATAAAAACACAAATCTTTTTATTGTAAATACACATATAATATACATAGAAAACACTCAAGCAGGCACAAACAATCATACTCATGAATACAAACGTTTGTACCATGTGAGGAAACGAACCCGAACCTTCGGAAGTAAGGCGGTAGCACAGCGCCT